AATCATCTAAAATTCTCTAAGAAAGTCCTGGCTGGCATGGCTCAGTTGGTTGCGCATCATTCTGCAAAGCCGAAAGTTGCCGGTTCAGTTCTGGTCAGGGCACATGCCGGACATGCGGGCCTGGTCTCTGGATGGGATGCTTGCGAGAGGCAACCGATCAATGCTTCTCTCACAAATCAGTGTTTCTGTCCCTCTCTTTCTCCCTCCCTTCTGCTTCCTCTATTTAAAAAAAATATTTTATTTATTTTAGAGAAAGGAGAAGGGAGGGAGGGAGAGTGGGAGAGAAACATCAATCAGTAGCCTATTGCATGTTTCCAACAAGGGACCTGGCCTGTAATCCAAGCATGTGTCCAGACCGAGAATCGAACGCTCAACCTTTTAGTTTTGGGGACCACGCCAAATCCACTGAGCCACACCAGCCAGGGCGAATAAACTCTTTATATAAATATAAAAAAGTAACTCTACTATATCATGAGGGGGAAAATACTGGAAACTGGATTCTCTCCTTCCTATCCCACATATTACAGTCAACAACTAAAAAAAATCAATAGACATGGACTCTTTTTTACTTCCACAGAAATTCACTAATATATTTTTCACAAAATATTTCATGTCATTGTGGTGATATTCTTTGCAGTTTCTAATAATGATATATTTATAGAAAACTAGTCACAAATCACAACATTCATTCAAATATAGCCACATGAATTTATGGTTGAATCTCATACTCATACCTGTGAGAAGAAGAGAAAGTGGCACAAGATTTCATATCCAAGGATGGATCAGAAAGGTTTAATTCAAATATCTCAAGGGAAGCATTAGTGCTAAATGTTGCATCCAATTGCTGAGCAGATGTTCCTACAGAAAATACATTTATGTAACTATGCATGCAAAACACAAAAACAAAAGACTCAGGAAACCATACAACATAGAAATTAAATGCATGTTTCTTAATGATCTCACCCATGAGTGCTGTAATAGTGGCTGGAATCTCAGCACACATACCACTGAGCAGATGTTTAAATCACTACAGCAATGAGATCCTAACTCAGGGCTCAGAGATGATGTTTATAAGCGGGAAGAATGAAGATAATTATTTAAGCCTACAGAACCTTTAAAAGCTCTATGTAAAAACAGTACCATGATTTACTATGCCTCCTTATAGTCACAAATGATATAACTCCAAGTCTTTTTCTATAAAAAAGCTAGCATCAAAATTGATCTTCATTCAAACTGATATTTAACAGTTTTGTTTACATGTATCTACTGTGCTTAATACTGGAGCAATAAAGATAAAACACACCTTGTATAAAGTGGGGAAGATACTGTAAATATATTGTGTTTAATGCTATGATCTATAAGGTGCTCTGGGAACACAGAGGAAGGTCACTGAATCCAGCTGACAGCAAGGAAGGAGGTATCTTGCCAGGGAAGAAGAGGCTTTCTAGAGATGAAGCTTGACTTGAATCTTAAAGAACAGGTATGAATAAGTCAGATGCACTATCTTCTCTGTTGAACTTACCTGTAGCTAGGTAAATGGGGTGATTCTGAGCAGGGCTCCATGCCTGCATAGCTGTACGATCTACTTCCTTTAACTTCATCCTGCTGAACAGAATATTTCACATAGAACTATACTGAACATGTAATATACAACATAAAAATACACTGGACAAACCATTACATCACTAATAATGCCCAAACACCAATAAATCCAATTCAGTATCATTTCTTGGGAAAGTTAAATGTTAGAAAGAAGAGACACTTGGTCAATTTTGAGACACATATAGGGCTATTCTGATGTTTACTGAATATAGTCTGTCAGCTAGAAAATCAGTGTGGAAAAAAATTGACTACACTCTGTGCTTCTCAGACAAGGATACTTGGCAACGTACCAGGGATAAGAGAAGGCACATAAAGCACAGGTGCATCTTCCTGGAGCAGGATCGTTCAATAAGAGCAGTTTTTAATATTAATTTTAAATTAGACTAACTACAAAGAAGAATATAGTAAGCCCACAGGTTTTAATGATAAAGCAGAAATTTTTAAAGACCTATTCACTCCAAACTACAATCCCCATACTACTAGTTTATATAATCTCTTTGTTAAAGTTACTTTCGTAGAAAAATTCAGGAAGTACTGTGCTATTATTAAAAAAAATATATATATATTATTCTATATAAATGCATTCACATGACACAGTAGTCCACTGTAAAGATACACCATAATTTAACTGCTTAGTCCATTAATGATTGCTATTTTTACAAAAGCAAAAGCTGAAATAAATGGCCATTGTACATATTATTTCATTAAGGGGCAAGGATAGCTATAAATTTCCAGAAGTAAAACTGCCAGGTTAAAGGACAAATGAGATTTCAATTCTGATGGATATTGCCATGTTGCCCTCCATTGAACTGTACTTTTTCACACTCCCAAGAGTAATACATGAATAGCTGCTGCCCTACAGCCTTACCAGAATACCACTATTTTTTTTTGTGGGGGGGCAGTATTTGACTTTTAACAACAGGACTGATCAGTGAAATATTAGCTCTATATAGTAGTATAATTTGCAATTCTCAGACTTTAAAGAATGTTGAACATAATTTCCTTCTCTCACCTTTATTTTTTTTAATTTTTAATATGTTTGTATTGGATTGTAATGTAACAGTCAATTTCTTATTGTGAATCTAAGGACTGAGCATTTTGGAACAGTAAAAGACACTGATAGAAAGGAAGCTGCAACCAGTTTTAAGAACAGCTGTGGTTTCTGTTCAATGGTTGGCATTGGTGTCTGGACCACTGTATACTCTTAACATTTTTTGAAGACTCCCAAAGGGCTGTTGTCTTTGTGGATTCTCTACTTATATTTATCAGAAGTTAAAACAGGCAGGATTAAAAATTTATGTATTGATGTCCTTAAGGTAACAGTAATAAACTCATTGATTACATGTTAACATGAGTAAGATTTACATGAAACACTGCTGTATTTTCCCAAACAAAAATTGAGAAGAATTGTAGTGTTGCCTTTTTTTGTGCCTGGCTTAATAAAACATAACTAAGTTCTCAAAAAATATGTTTATTGATTTTAGAGAAAAACATTGATGTGAGAGAGAAACAACTGGTTGCCTCCCATACATGCCCCAACCAGGAATCAAAGGGCTACCTAGGTATGAGCCCTTACCGGGAACTGAACCTACAACCTTTGGCATATGGGAGGACACTCCAACCTACTGAGCCAACTGGCAAGGGCTCTCTGTCTCTGTCATCTTTTCTATCTGTTCTTACTGTATCATTTGCCTATTTTTGCATTATGTTCTCAGACTTTATCTGTTGGTTTTGCTTATGTATTTTTTACCTTCCACAAGATTTAATTTTTAAAAATAGATGTTATTTATTAGGATAGTTTCAGGTTCACAGAAAGATGGAGTGAAAGTATAGAAAGTTCCCACATACCTCTCCTCCACCCCCCAACCACACTCTTCCACCATCAAAACCCTGTACCACAGTAGCACATTTATTGGTTTCAGGCAATGACCCAGCAAAGACACATCATTATATCCCAAAGTCCATTATGTACATTAGGGTTCACTCCTTGTGTTATACATTCCGTGGGTTTTGACAAAGGTATAATGACTCATACCCACCATGATAGTATCATGTAGAAGTTTCCCTGCTCTAAAAATTCTCTGTGCTTTCACCCTTCTCTTTCTCCCTCCCTCCTGGCAACCACTGATCTTTTTACTGTCTCCATAGTTTTGCCTTTTCCAAAATGTTGTTTCGTTACAATCATAGAATATTTAGCCTTTGCAAACTGACTTCTTTCACTTAGCAATAGGCATTTAAGCTTTCTCCATGTCTTTTTGTGACTTGACAGCTCAATTATTTTTAGCATGAAAAAATGTTCCATTGTATTGATGTATCATAATTTTTATTTTTTATACTCAGATTTGTCACTTAAAAATGGTTGCTGAAGCACAGGGTGGGGGAGGCTGGATTGGGAGAAATAGACAAAAAACTGTATTTGAAAAATAACTAAATAAAATTTTAAAAATTAAATGGAAAAAGGAAAAAATGGTTGCTGAATTTTGATTAGTTAGCAAGGACTTGTGCATGCCAGATTATGAATAAATTCACCCAGATTTTTCTTCTAGAAAATCCATCTATGGCTTATGCTCTACATTTAAATTTTGCCTCACTTGGAACATATCCTGGGATACAATGGATATTCAAAGTTTCTTTTTCTGTTATCACTCCAAAACTGTTTTTTGAAACATCTTTTTCCTACTAATTTTAGGTATCATTTTTATCATGTGCTAAATTCTTTTCATTAGGTTTATTTCTGAATTTACTATTTAGGTTTATATTCCTGTAAGTATTAGGATGTAGTTTAGGATTTACATTCCTCTATATGTTTAGGTTTATTTCCGCATTTCCATAGGCCCATTTGCTTACTGACAGGTTCAGCAGTCCACTGTTTTAAATACTGAGACTTTATATATGATTTCAGTAACCCCAACCCACTGCTTTCCCCCACCCTGTTTTCTTTGTTATCACTTTTTATTTTATTACACAAATGTCACAAAGGTTTTTGTCAATTCCAGAGAAAATGTTAGTAATTTTATGGAATCTACATCAAATTAATCAATTTAGGAAAAACTAACACAATGTCTGACTCTTCCTAGTGAGCACATGGTGTCTTCATTCAAGTCTTCTTTTTGTATCTTTCAGTATTATTTTAATTTTTTTGACATTGGATTTCCTTATTCCTATTTCACCTTTTGGCTTTGCTTGTAAATGTGGCTCCCCCCCCCTTCATTATCCTGTCTACCTTTCTGTTATTGTTATATAAAGCCTAATGATTTAATTAATTTTTTTATCCTGTTATGTTACTGAATTCTGTTTTTTGAGTAGTTTCTCAACAGATTCTTTTGTGTTTTCCACATATAGACTCATGTCATGTGCCAATAGTAACACTTACCTCTTTCTTTCAAATTGTTATTCTTCTAATTTGTCTTGTCCCAGTTGGCTAGTATCTGTAGCAGCACATTAAACAATAGTGATCACAGTGAGATTTCTTGTCCTGTTTTCTTTTCAGTGGGAAAGCCTACTGTATCACCACTGAGCATGATACTGGGATTTGAGATATATATACATATGTATACACATTGAGTATATATAATGTATGGACACAGCTGTTGATTACTGTTTTACTGAATGCTATCTATAAAGACTGGGTGTTGAATTTTGTCAAATGCTTTTTTATTAGGTAATTGGAGATGACCTATGATTCTTCTCTTTAAGCCTATCAATAAAACAAATTATACTATTAAATTTCCTAACACTCAATTATCTCATACCCTGAATAAACATCTCTCTCTCTCTCTCTCTCTCTCTCTCTCTCTCTTTTTCCCTTTTTGGTCCTAGAGCCTGAGGTATTGTAACTTATTGTGAAACTATGTAACCAAACATCTAAATATATCTACAGCATGTACACCACAGTAATGTATACCATATAACATGCTAACATCTCAAAATGAATTTCTACTACAGTTTTATGCAAATTATGGTAAGATTACCACGTGACACAATCTGAAATGGCACCAACTTCTCATAGCATTCCATGTCAATTTACTAGTCAAAATCCCTACTGGTAATGATGTTTCATGCATTATCATCTGAATATTTAAATTAAGCTGTTAATCTAGTAACCACAGTAATTTACCAGTTCAAATCACTGCATATGTGGATGTTAAAGCAGATGAGTAATACTGCAGGAAAAGTATTTCTAACTGAATAAACTTCTCTTGATCATGAAGCATTGTTTTACTGATGTGCTGCTGGATTCTACTTGTTTAAAACAGTTTTGCATCTAGAGTCACAAAAGTGAGCTTCAGTCTATGGTTTTCTTCTTTTGTGCAGTCTTTGTCAGGTTTTGGTATCAATCTTATACTTGCTTCCCCCAAATATGGAAGTTTTCCTTCTTTCTCTGTGCTCTGGAACAGTCTGAAAAGCAGCAGTGGAATTATTGGTTCTTTAAGGATTTAGAAGAATTACCCTGTGAAACATCTGGGCCTGATACCACTGAGGAAGTTGCTTCTTTAGTAATTTTCTCTTTCTTCGATGCAAACTGGTCTACTTGAATTTTCTTTATGCAAGATCACTTTTGGAAATCATAGTTCCTTGTGTTTTCATTACTATGATCACCTATACATTCTACAATTGCTCTTTGTATTCTCCACTGATCCAAGAATTGAGCTTAATATTGAAGTGGAAGAGCCTTAATTTTTACTACATTGTGATTTTTTGATACTATTTCTCCTTAATGATGCTTACTGAAGTTTTCTCTAGGACCTATATAGGTATTTTTGTGACTCTTCCATGAGACTAAACAGGGCAGTGCTCTGGCTGCTCAAACCTGAGTCTTGGCCTCTTGCCTTCTCCCCTGAGCAACATGAGCTTTCACGCCCTCTCCAGCTTCTCCACAAATGACCAGATCCTGGATTCCTTGCAGTCGCCCAGACACCAGGCCTGGCCGGCCAACAGTGTGACCAGACTCTATACGAGTGCTGGGCGCTTAGGCTCCTGGAACTGTGTGTCCCATTCCACCAGCGTGCAAAGTGCCTGGGGTTCCAGGTGCCTGGCTGTGGGGATGGCCTGGGGTGCAGAGGGCACATGGGGAATCCAGAGCGAGAAGGAGACTATGCAATGTCTGCATCACCAGCTGGCATCCTACCTGAAGAAGTGAGACGTCTGGAGGCTGATGATCGAAGACTGGAAAGCGAAATCCAGGAACACCTAGAGAAGAAGGGACCCTGGGTCAGACACTGGGGGCATTATCTCAAGACCACTGAGGACCTGAGGGCTGAGATCTTTGCAAGTTCTGTGGACAATGCCATCTTGCTACTGATGACTTCAGAGTGAAATACGTGATGGAGCTGGCCATGCACCAGTCTGTGGAGAGTGACATCAATGGTTTTCTGAAAGATCACTGATGACACCGATATCACTCAAATGTTGCTGGAGACAAAGATCAGGGCTCTCAAGGAGCAGATGGTCCTCAAGAAGAACTGCAAGGATGAAGTAGTCTACAAAACCCAGACTGGGTTTTGCCAGCTCTGGGTCGACCATGGAGTGGAACGCCCCCAGATTTCAGGACCTCAGCCAGATCACAGCAGACATCCAGGCTCAGGATAATGAGCTAGCTCAGAACAACTGAGAGGAGCAGTCTAGTACTGGTCCCAGCAGACTGAAGAGAGCACCACAGTGGTCACCTTATAGACTGCTGAGACAGGAGCTGTTGAGATGACGCTCACGGAGCTGAGACTACAGTCCTCTCCTTGGAGATCTACCTGGACTAAATTAGAAATCTGAAGGCCAGTTTAGAGAACAGCCTGGCCTTCAGCCAGGGAGAGAACAGCCAGGGAGAGGCCAGTTTAGAGAACAGCCTGGGAGGTGGAGACCCGCTATACCATGCAGATGGAGCAGCTCAACAAGATCCTGCTGCACCTGGAGTCAGAGCTGGCCCATACCCAGGCACAGGGGCAGCACCAGGCATGCGAGGGTCCTGATGAACATCAAAGTCAAACTGGAGGGTGAGGTCGCCAACTATCACTACCTGCTGGAACAAGGGGGAGGACTTCCATCCTGGTAACACTCTAGACAGCAGCGACTCTGAAATCCATCCAAGACCCACTACCCACAGGACTCTGGACAGCAAAGTGGTATCTGAGGTCAACACCACCAAACTTCTGAGGTGTTAAAACAACAGAAGTGGGGCATGTCATAGTAGAGAGGAGGCCAATAAGTAGTTCAGAGATCACTGAACATTTTTAAAAAAGGGTGATCTATTTTCAGGATCAAGTTCAATATTTCTTAATCAAATCAACACAATTACTTTATTGTTTACATCTTCTCTATACTAATTCTTTTCCATTTGATCTGTCTTGAACCAACAATGAATTAAAAGTCTCCTCACTAGCCCTGGCTGGTACGGCTCAGTGGACTGACTGAGGGCCTGTGAACCAAAGGGTTGCTGGTTTGACTCCCAGTCAGGACACGTGCCTGGGGTGTAGGCCAGGTCCCCAGTAGGGGATGTGTCAGAGGCAACCACACATTGATGTTTATCTTCCTCTCTTTTGCCCTCTCTTCCCATACCGAAAAATAAATAAATAAAATCTTTAAAAAACAAAGGTCTCCTCACCAATGCATTTGTGCCAATTTCTCCTGGTAGCTCCTGAAACTTGCTTTATAAAAGTTACTTTGTATTTAATACATCCTTATTTGGTAGACAGATACTCATAATGTAAAATATTAAGTATCAATCATTTTCGCTTTATAAAGTATTGTTCTTAGTTTTAAATAATGCCTTTGGGCCTGAATTAAGATCACATTATATTAAGGTGACTATTTAGATCAATACCTTAGTTTCCTTTTTATTTGCCTTTATGAGTATATTTTGTCCTTTTCAACTTTTGAACCACTGTGTTTTCACTGGCTGTCTTAAATTGTTTTAAAAAAGAAATTAAGCTTTGCTTAGTGAACACAAAGAAAGAGCTTTGCTCAGTGATTCTATTGGAAAATCCAACAGATCAACTAACAAGGCCATTTAAAATTTATTGATATGACAGATAAGGTCGTTCTTAGTTCTGTCTCATTTTGCTATGTTTGGTTTTAGAATTTAAAAATCCTTTCACCGTTGTCTATTTTTTGTGTGCACTTATATAATTTTCCTGACAATTAGGATGTTTTACTTTTGTTCTGACATGTAGTTCTGGTTTTATCTTTATAACTATGATTTTAAGTATTTTTATTTAATACCATTAATTGTCTAAAAGTAACTATGAGCACAAAAGAAATTAGCTTGTATAAAATTACTGTCCCTCTTGCACTACAGTTACAGTCAATAGTATTATCTTTCTCAGTGTTTACCTTTGTACTGTGAAATAGACTTATACTTCTACTAACTGATTTGTCAGCTTTAAATGATGTCCTTTGACTCCTGGCCATTACAGATGAGGCAATCCACAAACTTATTCTACCTCCAGTTCTCTTCCTGCTTTCCTGTTCTCTTAATATTTTTTAAAGAATTTATTTATAGGGGAGTATAAGGGAGTTAAATGGTAATGAAAAAATAAAAGAAAAAAAGATTTTATTTATTTGGTTTTTAAAGAAAAGAGAAAGGAAGAAAGAGGGAGAAAAACATCAACATGTGACATAATCATCCATTGGTTGCCTCTCGCACACCCTCAATTTAGGACCTGGCCTGCAACCCAGGCATGCGTCCTAACTGGGAATCAAACTGGCAACCTTCAATTTGCAGGACGATGCCCAACCCACTGATCTACAACAGTCAAAGCCAGGTCTCTTAATGTTTTCAAGTTTTATAACCAATTCCTGTATCACAAAATATTTAACATATATACTTTATTATTTCTATTTGAAAAATTTTTTAAATATATTTTATTGATTATGCCATTACAGTTGTCCCATTTCCCCCACTTCGTTCCACTCCACCCTGCACACCCCCTTCCTCCACATTTCACCCCTTTAGTTCATGTCCATGTGTCATAAGTTCTTTAGCTTCTACATTTCCCACGCTACTCTTGCCCTCCCCCTATTTTCTCCCCACTGTCTATGCTACTTATTTTCTGTACCTTCTTCCCCTTTCTCCTTCTCCCACTCCCCTGTTGCTAACCCTCCATGTGATCTTCATCTCTATGGTTCTGCTCCTGATCTAGCTGTCCTCTTAGTTTGCTTTTATTTTAGGTGTGGTTTTTAATAACTGAGTTTGCTGTCCTTTCACTATTCATATTTTTTATCTTCCTTTCCTTAGATAAGTCCCTTTAACATTTCATATAAGGGCTTGGTGATGATGAACTCCTTGAATCTGCCTCTCCATTCTAAATGAAAGCTTTGTGTCTTTTCATTTTATCCTTTTGGAAAATGGTATCTAGGCTTCTTAACTAGACTTCTGCCAAGATGGAGGCATAGGTGGAGATGCCGTGCTTTCTCCCACAACCAAGTTGAGAGAGAACAAAATATTAGTAATAGAAAACACAGCCAGAACACAGAAAATCGAACTTTTCGGAAGTCTGATAACAACAAATTCTTCAGCCTGACCGGTAAGAGGGGCAAAGCCAGCAGCTGGCGGAGCAGGGTTGCACGGGAAAACTTGGTCAGACAGACTCAGGCGCGCATATCCCAGGCGTGAGGTTGCAACGGGCAGACCCAGTGAGCGACTCAGTGAGCGACCGGCGTACCCAGCAAGGGTGCAGGGCAGCAGGTTGACTGTGGTCCCCCATTCGTGTGCAGATAGACCAGCAAGAGAGTGGGCGGTGAGATGACAGGACCGAGCATGCCAGAGCAGCGTGAGGCAGCAGAGGGGTCTGCCATTTCCCCGCTCTGACCCCACTCCCACATACAGCATCACAACCCAGCGACCTGGCCAACCCTGCCCTGGTAAACACCTAAGGCTCCACTCCTCATAATTAACGGGTGTGAACAGACCAAAAATGGCTTAAGAATATCTCAAAGCCCCAGAGCCAATAAATCTAAGGGACGAAGAAATAGCAAAACTTTCACATGCAGTTCAAAACACTGCTGATCAGGATGCTCACAGAACTAGTTGATTTTAGTCACAAATTAGAGGAACATATGAAGGCTAAACTAATTGAAATGAAGGGAATTGCACAGGAAACCAATAGTGATGAAGAGGAAACTGGGACTCAAATCAATGGAGTGGACCAGAAGGAAGAAAAAAATGTCCAAACAGGAAAATATGAAGAAACAAGAATTCAAAAAAATGAGGAGAGGCTTAGGAACCTCCAGGACATCTTTAAACATTCCAACATCTGAATTATAGGGGTACCAGAAGGGGGAAAGGAACAGCCACCAGTGGAAAACTTATTTCAACAAATAATAAAGGAGAATTTCCCCAATGCAGCAAAGGAAATAGACTTATAGGAAATCTAGGAAGCTCAGAGAGTCCCAAAGAAGTTGGACCCAAGAAGAAACACACCAAGACACATCATCATTACATTAGCCAAGATTAAAATGAAGGAGAGAATCCTAGAAGCAGCAAGAGCTAAGGGGACAGTCACCTACAAAGGAGTTCCCATCAGACTGTCAGCAGATTTCTGAAAAGAGACCTTCCAGGCAAGAAGGCGCTGGAAAGAGGTATTCCAAGTCATGAAATCCAAAGACCTACAACCAAGATTGCTCTATCCAGCAAAGCTTTCATTTAGAATGGAAGGACAGATAAAGTGCTTCTCAGATAAGGTCAAATTCAAGGAGTTCATCATCACCAAGCCCTTATTATATGAAATGTTAAAGGGACTTACCTAAGAAAAAGAAGATAAAAAAGATGAACAGTGAAAGGACGGCAAACTCACAGTTATTAACAACCACACCTAAAACAAAAGCAAACTAAGAGGACAGCTAGATCAGGAGCAGAACCATAGAAATGAAGATCACATGGAGGGTTAGGAACAGGGGAGTGGGAGAAGGAGAAGGGGGGGAGAAGGTACAGAAAATAAGTAGCATAGATGGTAGGTGGAAAATAGATAGAGGGGAGGGCAAGAATAGTATGGGAAATATAGAATCTAAAGAACTTGAGACACGTGGTCATAAACTAAAGGGGGGAATGGTGGAGGTGGGGGTGTGCAGGATGGAGGGGAATGAAGGGGGGAAATAGAACAACTGTAATGGCATAATTAATAAAATATATTTTAAAAAATGAAAGCTTTTCTAGAGAAAGCAATCTTGGATGTAGGTCCTTGTATTTCATGACTTGGAATTCTTCTTTCCAGCCCCTTCTTGCCTGTAAGGTCTCTTTTGAGAAATCAGCTTACAGCCTGATGGGAACTCCTTTGTAGCTGACTGTCCCCTTATCTCTTGCTGTTTCTAGGATTCTCTCCTTCATTTTAATCTTGGCTAATATAATGGTGATGTGCTTTAGTGTG